AATATATACTGAACTAAATGAAATGTACAATATACGAAACAAAAAGATACACAGGCGTCACGAGTAATAGCAGACGCTGTTTCCACCACACTCTACCTGGTATGACGTAGTCTGTGTAAGCCACACGCTGACTTCAGTCGAATGAGGGCGATGTCTGCATCATATGAACCAAGATCATATTCAGGATGCAATATTATTTCATCCACCTCATACACTCTCTGTTCTTCTTCAACCTCGTCCGCGTTGTATTTCCCAAGATGCACCTGTAGCGTTGTTTCAGTGACGTATGTGAGAGCGATGCAGTGTGCCGCTGTTATAACCCATTTTCGATTAAGAAGGGCGCCGCCACAGAAGTGTTTGTTTCTAGTTGTGTCAAACAACATCGCCATCCACGGCCATTCTCCTCTTTTTGTTGCTCGTCCACCAACTATTCCTACCTCTTGCGCGTGCAATACCACATTCACCTGAGATAAACCAAAAGTAATTCCATCAAATCGTGTATTTGTGTTGAGTAAACTCAAAATGGAAACGTGTATACAGTATATGTACAACGTCAAATGATGTGTATTCATACAAAATGCCTATTACAATAACATGGCCCAGAGATCCACTATTAAATATAATTACAACTGTTTATATACTACTGTCAGTGAGGGGTGTTTGTTTGGCAAAATTTCCTATGGGAGTGGGATATACAGAATATTCTTTAGGGAGTACATCGTATGAGAGTGTACCCTATGGGAGTAGTGCCCTATAAAAGTAACTACCGTAAGATGGGAGTAGCCCTAATGCGATTGATCCTTGTGAGAATAACCCAGATAAAGGTAATCCTATGTAACTTGGTTCTATAGAAATTATTTCAATAGGAATAGCTCCTTTGAAAAATCAATATGGGAATAACCCCTATAGATGTAAATAACGCGTATCGAAGTAAATCCCTTGAATGTAACCCCGGTGAGAATACATTCCTTAGAAGTAACCCCTATGAAAGTAAATCAATTGGATTCAGTCCGATATGGAAATTGTCCTTATGGAAGTAACCCATGAGAAGTAACCAGGTTTTTTTCTAAACCGAGGAACAGAGGCGCAGAAAAACCCCCAGAAGTAACGACTGTGGGAGTGGACTGTGGTTACCGTGGAACACCTGGCAGTAGCAACTTTGAGGGTGACTCTATTGGAGTGGTCACTATGGAAATAGCCCATATAGAAGTCGATTACACACTCCTCTATGGAAGTAACACATACGGGGGTAATATCAATTAGTCTCGTTGCCAAAACTAGATAGAGTAGTCCACATGGAAAACTACCTATGTATCCCCATTCAGAGTCACCACTATGGTTGTCTATGGGAATATCTTCTATAGAATTAACTCATATGAATAATTTTAATCAATGCGGCAGTATTTCCTTTGAAGTAACCCGTGTAGCTATATGGTGGTCCCAAAGGAGTGCCACCTATGGGAGTCTCCTCTATGGGTTCGTTCCCCTGGGAATACGCCCTAAAGGACATAACCACTTTGGGAGTAACCCGTATGAGGATAATCCCTATGGGTAAAAACATTATAGAAGAAGCCTTTATTGGAATAACCTCAATGGGAGTCACCAGTGGTCACTACGGCAGTAACATCTAAGGGGTGGTTACTGTGGCAGTAACCCTTGAAGATTAGTCACAATCAAAATGCGAGCACCCCCCTCAATGGAAATAACCGATATAGGAGCGGTCGCTATGTTAATGGTCACTATGGATGAGGGAAGATGTTACTGGATTAATGCGTTTATGGAAGTTGAACATTTGGGAGTGGTCACTATGAGAGTAACTCATATTTGAATGGTCACTAAAGCAGTAACCCTCTATGGAAGTAGCCCTTATGGATGTAAGCTCTGTGGAAATCGACCATGTATATGTGTTCACAGTCACTCTACTAGGAGAGTGACTGTGATGTGTTTGATGTCAGACTCACCGTAGCCACTGCTTTCACTGGGAACGTCCGACTCCGTTACATCAACCCAGGCACGTGCTTCGATCAGACTAAACCCATCACTTAACCGACATGTATAGATGCCACTATCTGTCATATCTGCGTTGACCACTAATAAATGGTTACTTTGTAGTAAAAACATTCTACCCTCTGTGTAAGCGTTGGAAGTTGAAACAAAACGGTTGTCCTTTGTCCAAGTTGGATACGCGTTTCGGGTGGCCGTGCATCTCAGGATGAAATGTGATCCGGTTACCGTGGAAACGTTGGTAGGTCTTTCCAAGAACTGTATATCTAAATGTTAAAAGAGATGTCTTATTATTGTTGAAAATGCCAAGAATGTAGGAAGAATCGGTCATCGATTGAGTTATAATATATTTAATTTTAACTCGTGTGTTTAAAGTACCGCATTTATTTTCTAATAACTCGTACAATGCAATGTTTGACAGTCGAAACGAATAATTCGATCAGTTAAACACACTTTTCAACAATAAAACGTTAGTGAGAAGTAGCGAAAGTTGGAATGATCGAAAGTAAATGAAATGCGGTATAAAAGAACAAGCAAGTTATATGCGAGTTTCTCTAAGTAAGTGAAACTTTAGTGAGTAACGCACGCAATGATTGACAGCCGACACGTGAACGTATATTTAATAATTCGGCAACAGAACACACCTTTCGACAAAAAATTGAATGAAGTGTAGGAAATTTTAGTGTTTGGATAAATAAAATGCTTTGTTAAAAACAAATCACACCAGAGTTTTGACGTTCTTGCAAAGTATAAGTTATCAGCAAATAAACATAAGCAAACGCTGTACTTACCAGTTATGAATAAATAAATAAAATTAAGCCCTACTTACAACGTATGAGAGAAACTAATACACTAAATATAAAAACGCCGTACATGTAAAGTACTTATTAAAAGTAAATTAGTTAAAATTGTTTACGTTAATCTAAATAAATATACATATATTATAAAAACAGCATTGGTACGAATATGCACAACGCATGTGTAACGTTTATTATTTCTGTTCTTTTTTTACTTTTTGCAGTGTTTTTAAATCACTATGGTTACAAGTTGATATTGACAATCTTGTCTAGAATTTCAAAATTGTACACATCAGAAAAATCATAGTACATGTACCAGAAAAAAATCCTTTCAAAAATGCTGCCACCATTAATTTCCTTCTTTTTTTTATAGAATTTCCAGTTCCATATGTGTGCTTCTGTCTTTATA